TCAGGCCAAGGAGGAAAGACACCAGAAAAAGCTGCAGATCTGAAGGTCTACGGCCGTTTGAAACCATCTGGAGTCCATCGGTCAGCAGAGGCAGAGGTTTCACAGCTGGATCACCCAAAGGCCAGGTCTCAGACTCCCCGGGCCTCAGCACACACACACTCTCCAAGCTCCTGGTGTTTAGCTCCCAATTCTGAGTTAATGTCTTTTACCACCAGTGTTGTTGCTGCCTGTGTCTTTGTTCAGGACCCCTAAAGGGTCCCGGTCTGGATCCCCACAGAGACCACGGGAGGGTCTCTGTCTGTTACAGATGTACCCATTAAGCACAGATTTCAGTTCTACTGCCACAACCCTGAAAACAAGGTTCAAAATATATAGAAAGTAACAGGCTGAGCTAGCATGGCAGCACGGCTCTGGTTTTCTGAGGGAGCAAATCCTCCATCTGGGATTTGAACTGAGTTCAACATGACCGCTAAACATGGAAGACGAGCCCTGGTCCTGTAGGGTTGGGGATTGGGGGGGGGGGGGGGGGGTCATTGGCCCAGAGCTCAGCAGAGAGCGGCTGAATTAACTGGCCGGTAAAAGGTCTGTAAAAGCCTCACTCTCCTCGATCTGATTTGGACCAACTTCATTATCGGCGTCTGAAGAGGAGCCTGTTCAGGCTGCACTTCATTAGAGGCCGGCGGCCGCTCCGCTAGCGAGCCGCTCCGGGGATCGATGCCGGATGGGTTCTCTGTTTGTGGAGGGAAGAGAGGAGGAGGAGGGAGGACTGACTGACTGAGCTCTACTGGACCTGAGAGAGATCCGGCCATACCCGACCGGACGTGCCGCCCAGATCCTGGTGCCGGTCTGTTATCTCCTGACCGGTCTCCCAGCCCGGACGCTAAAACCTTCACAGATGATCCAGAACGTGATGGCACGTCTGGTCTTCAGCCCAAAAAGTCTCAAGTCACCCCTCTGTTCACTGAGCTTCACCGGTTACCCCTGGTTACCCCCAGTTACCCCTGGTTATCCTCAGTTACCACTGGTTACCCCTGGTTACACCCAGTTACCACTGTTTACCCCTGTTACTCCCGGTTACCCCCAGTTACCACTGGTTACCCCTGGTTACCCCTTGTTAACCCCAGTTACCCCTGGTTACACCCAGTTACCACTGTTTACCCCTGTTACTCCCGCTTACCCCTGTTACCCCTGGTTATCCTCAGTTACCACTGGTTACCCCTGGTTATCCCCGGTTTCCACTGTTTACCCCTGTTACCCCCGGTTACCCCGAGTTACCACTGGTTCCCCCTGGTTCCCACTGGTTACCCCGGTTACCATTGGCTACCAGTGGCTACCAGTGACTGGGGGTTTTCCTCCAGAGATCTGATTGTCAGATTGATGAGAACTGGAACGTTGTGTCTACTTTGTGAGTCGCTTTGGAGAAAAGTGTCTAAATGGAGACACAACAATTACAGGCGGGTGACATCCAGATTCCCCACAGGTGAGCTCAAAGACAGCTCGCCCACGGGGTGGGGTCCCGAAAAATTCAAACGAAACCCCTCTTATTCCCCTCTGCAGACAGCCAATGGGATGCGGCGGCAGGTCTGACTGAATTTCACAGTCAACACACATCGAAAAGCCCCTCAGCTGTTAGTCAAAGCAAACAGCTCTAATATGGTGTCTCACACACAGTCATTACGGCACAATCTGCCTATTTTTCCTCTTAATTGCCCTCCTCTCCGTCACTCCCTTCCTCCCGCCCCCCCCCCGCCCATCTCCCCCTCCCTCCATCCCGGGCTGTCTCCCCTCACTATGCCGGGCTTGAAGGATTATCCGCGCTAACACGAGCCCTAATTGGCTGTCACTGTGTGCTGGAAAATGTGAAGCCACTTCCTTGATATAATCATGTTTACACACGAGCGCCAGGTCCCAGACTGCCGGGCTTGTCTCTATCGAGCTTGTTTAGGGAGTAATTTACTGTAAAATTGGCTATGATAGTCAGTCACAGAGAGGAAAAAAAAAAGAGCCAGCTCAGCATTAAATGGGAGCTGCTGAGACACAAAGACTTTCCTCAGAGCATCGGCTACATTCTTTATCCCGACGAGGCTTTCCATCCGCAAGAGATGAGCCTCATTATCACCAAATTATCCAAATTAACCAGTTTGATGAAAGGGAATCGGATTTCATCTGTGCTTTACAAACACTTACAAAGCAGACGAGAGGGATTCCAGGAGAAAAGCAACAGAGGGCTGGCCCACACCGGTCCTTTCTGCGGCTTGGGTTCATCAAATCGGGCGATTAAAGTGATCTAACCGGCTGCTTTTAACACAGTCCGAGCACATTGGGTCATATTGTACTGATGGTGGATGGACCTGCTGAGCAAGCAGCCTCTGAGTTTCTTTTCTCTGACTTTTGACTCTTCTTTTATGAGAAGAAGACAAGTTGACATGTAAAAATCTGATTTCACTTATCGTCCATGTTCAGAAGTTCTGCTGCAGAGCAAAGACCGGCAGGCCGGATCCCACCACGGGGTCAGGGCTTAGGGTTAGCCTAAGGGTTAGCCCTGAGGGTTAGTCCTAAGAGTTAGCCCAAGGGTTAGCTGTAAGGGTTAGCCTAAGGGTTAGCTCTAAGGGTTAGCCTAAGGGTTAGCGTTAGGGTAAGCGTTAGGTTTAGCCCTGAGGGTTAGCGTTAAAGTTAGCCCTGAGGGTTAGTCCTAAGAGTTAGCCTAAGGGTTAGCTCTAAGGGTTAGCCTAAGGGTTAGCGTTAGGGTAAGCGTTGGGCTTAGCCCTGAGGGTTAGCGTTAAAGTTAGCCCTGAGGGTTAGCCTAAGGATTAGCTCTAAGGGTTAGCTTCAGGGTTAGCTTTAGGGTTAGCGTTAGGTTTAGCCCTGAGGGTTAGTCTTAGGGGTTAGCCCTGAGGGTCAGTGTTAAAGTTAGCCCTGAGGGTTAGCCTAAGGGTTATAAGCCTCCAAAATCCAACACAGAATCACGTCTTCAGATAAATAAATCTGGCTTAGCCGGACTTGTCATTCAGCCTGAGCAGCAGGTGCGTTTTTTAATAGGTATAAATATCATTTGGAGGCTTGGTGACACTGGAGTGGAGAATTATCAACAGAACCCGAAATTCTTCTGTTGTCTGAGCCCCTTGAAGTGGTCCTGAAGTTGTAGAATATGCACAAAAAAAGTGTGTTTGTGAGTGAGAGCGCGTCTGCACGTTTGCAGGGACGTTTCTTCATCTCTGAGTGTGCGTGTGCACCACATCAGCGCGCATGTTTTTCTCTGCCAATTAGGGACTCGATGACAGGACCTGTGGAGAAACAGCAAGCCGGGCTATTTCTGGAGCTGCACTTACGGGAGGAAATCTGAATAGAACAACTGGACAAACCAGACAAGGGGAGCTGATTTCAGTCATGGAGAGGATTTCAGCAGCTCAGCAAGCAGGATGCTCCAGTTCTCCTCCCCTAATGAAAAGATTCAGATTTAAGACCAACGAAGTCCAGAGCAAAAGAAAAGGAGGCAAGGGGGGCTTGAAAAGTCCAAAAAGATTTGGTAAAAGGTTTGTTTTTTTGTTTAAATCCCAAAAGATGAAAGCAGAATATCTGCTAATTGTCTAACACTGTTCTTACAGTGTGTTCAAATTACTCTTTTATCCATAAAAACAAAGCACCTGCACAGCTCAGCTGCATTGATCCATCCAGCAGATCTGGCAGAAAAAAACGCCCATCAAACGCAGCGTCAACCATAATCCCCTCTGATAGGTCGATGAAAGAGCTGAAAATGAGACTGTGACGGGCGCTTTGTCCCATTTAACTCATTAAACGTGTTCAAATGCTGCCAAAGGGGCAGTTTTTATTCATTTATTTCATCACAAATGTACTTGCATGTGGGAATGCTTCACTTCACTTCACTTTCACTTTATTTCACTTTCACTTTATTTTGGTAAATTGTCCACATTAAACACAAGAAACAACAAAAGCTCCCCCATTCCCGGCCACATTAAACAAAGGGAGGGTCATCTCTTGGGCAAAATCTGTCCTCCAACACGGGGTTAAAACACACGATGGGTGGGATTTCTGCTTTTTCCTGCTGGTGAAACTCCAAATGAACAATAACAGGCAGAATATCTCACACTCACACTTAATTAGGACGTCGCACAGCCTCCGCAGCCGTTCTGACAGAGGAGAAGCTGCCCCCCCCCCCCAAAGGCCCCCCCCCCCCCCCAGAGGTCAGCAGGCCCCACCGGGAGCAGCGGCTCTGCCCACCGGAGCTCATCCGGCCTCATTTCCAGCCGCACGCAGAGGATCAAATGTGCCGACCTTTCATGGTGATTGAGAGAACAGCCAATAAAGAAAGGTAAATACCAGAGGAGGGTTTGTTCAGGCTGGGGGGGGGGGACTGGAGCTATGCATTTGCATCACAGATTTCTAAAAGACTTGTAGCTCATTTTATGGAGACACCAATTTTAAAAAAAAACCTCCAATCCAAAGTGATCTTAAAGGTAATTTCTCTGGGCAGTTTGGATTTTATTTAACGGGAATCTTTAAGCCCAGTTTTATGTTCTCACTGTTCACCGCCTCCATGATTATTACTTCGGTTGGGATTATTAGAGTAGTTTCAACACAAGCTGCAGAAAAAACTGATTTTTTGGGGTTTAAAAAATAAATAAAACGTCCAAGTTTTCCTTCCGAAGTTGCACACTCGGCTGTTTCTGTTGGACACACCGCAGGTTTACAGACCGTCTGTGAGTCTATCTATCTATCTATCTATCTATCTATCTATCTATCTATCTATCTATCTATCTATCTATCTATCTATCTATCTATCTATCTAT